TCCCCCACTGCCCCCCATGGACCCTGGGCAAGCCCACTGCCCCTTCCACTCCCCACTGACCCCGGGCAAGCCGACTATCCCTCCTGGACTCCAGGTAAGCCCCCTGCCCCACCGTGGACCCCGGGCAAGCCCCCCCACCCACTCATCTCTAATCATCTGCCCTGGTTTTGCCTCCTGAGCCTGCTAAGTCTGTGTGTCCCTCATCAAGGCCTGTCAGAGCCTAGACCCTAAATGGGAAGTGGCTGTTTTACAGAGACAAGGACGTGCTGAGGGGAACTGCCTCACCCGTCTCCCACTGGCTGTGTCCCTAAAGTCCTGCCTTCCTGTAGGCTTGGCATGGAGCACCTCTGCATGTGACCACGGGCCTGCTCACGCAGCCCTTCTGCACACGTGGGAGCTGCCTCTGTGACTCACCCCTGGACCCACTGCCCCAGCGCCTGACCCACCTCCCTGCTGCCTTTCACAGAAAACTTCTCACAGACTCCCATTTTCTTATCTGGCCCTGATTTCGGAACTGCCCTTACCCATCCCCACCTTGCCAGATATGGTGGGCCATAGGCGCTCCTCTGTCTTCTGGGACTTTGCTCTCCCCAGGGGATCCTCTGCCACTCCTCCACCCAACTCCTCAATCTTGGAGCGCCAGAGCTCAGCTGAGCTCACTGGCTCCCTAGGGAGCTGGGGCAACTGTTAGCTCCACCTGACCTCTGTGCTCCTATGTCCAGTGGCTGGTGGCCCCCTCAAACTTAATGTGTTCATCATGGAACTTTCTGTTCCCCCCCTCGCCAGTCTGCTCCTGTCACCATGTGCCTCCTCCAAGTCTGTTCTGTTCCACCCTCAGGACACATCTCCAGACCGTTTACTGCTCCCATCCTGGGTGGTCCGGCCACTGCCATCCTCAGTCCTCACCTGAGGCTCCGCTTCCAGGCTGGTCTCTCCCTCAAAGCCTCTTCAAGTTTCCCTTCACACCAGAACAGCCCCAGTTCCACCCAAGGCATGCACACAGCCCCACCCCACCCACTCCTATTTCAGGGCCTTTGCACACCCCACTGTTGGAATGCTGCCCCACCTCTGTGCCACTCACTGGACCCAGTGTCTTGCCACACCCCAATCTCCATCCTCTTACCCACAACACTCGTCCCTTCCTGCCACTATATCACACTGAGTGTGGGCCGGTCTACCTGCTACAGATGGTCAGGCTGGAAGGATACAGGAGACCCCCCTGAAGCCTGGCACTCATCAATGGCTAGACTGCCCACAATTTTTTTTTTTTTTTTTTTTTTTTTTT